ATTTGGGAGTTTTGGGGGATTTTTTTGGGGAAATTTGGGAGTTTTTGAGGGGATTTGGTGAATTTTTGGGGATTTTAGGGGGGGTTTGGGGAATTTTTGGGGGGATTTGGGGGGATTTTGGGGAATTTTGGAGGATTTGGGGAATTTTCTGGGGGGAATTTGGGGGGATTTGGGAATTTTTGGGGGAATTTGGGAATTTTTGGGGATTTTTTTGGGGGAGTTTTGAGAATTTTTGGGGGATTTTTGGGGAGTTTTTTGGGGAATTTTGGCAATTTTTGGGGGGATTTGGGGGGATTTGGGAATTTTGGGGAATTTGGGGGATGTTGAGGTTTTTTGGGGAACTTTTGGGGATTTTTTTGGGACTTTTTTGGGGAATGTTTTTTGAATTTGGAAGATCTTGGGAATTTTTTGGGGTGGTTTTGGTGGAATTTGGGGGAATTTTTGGGATTTTTGGGGGAATTTTTGGGGAATTTTGAGGAATTTTGGGGATTTTTGGGGGCAAATTTGGGGGGATTTTGGGAATTTTGGGGGGAATTTTGGAGGGAATTTGGGAATTTTTTGGGATTTTTTTTGGGGATTTGGGGGGATTTTGGGAATTTTTGGGGGGATTTTCGGGGGATTTTGGGGTTATTTTGGGAGGATTTTGGGAGGATTTTTGGGATGATTTTGGGGTGATTCTGGGATGATTTTTGGGGGGAATTTTGGGAGGATTTTTGGGGGGAATTTTGGGATGATTTTGGGGTGATTTTGGGAGGATTTTTGGGGGGAATTTTGGGGTGATTTTTGGGTGATTTTGGGATGATTTTTGGGATGATTTTGGGGCGATTTTGGGATGATTTTTGGGTGATTTGGGGGCGATTTTGGGATGATTTTTGGGATGATTTTTGGGTGATTTTGGGATGATTTTGGGATGATTTTTGGGATGATTTTGGGGTGATTTTGGGATGATTTTGGGATGATTTTGGGGTGATTTTGGGATGATTTTTGGGATGATTTTGGGATGATTTTTGGGATGATTTTTGGGGTGATTTTGGGATGATTTTTGGGATGATTTTGGGATGATTTTTGGGATGATTTTTGGGATGATTTTGGGATGATTTTGGGGTGATTTTGGGGTGATTTTGGGGCGATTTTGGGATGATTTTTGGGATGATTTTGGGATGATTTTTGGGATGATTTTTGGGATGATTTTGGGATGATTTTGGGGTGATTTTGGGATGATTTTTGGGATGATTTTGGGGTGATTTTGGGATGATTTTTGGGATGATTTTTGGGGTAATTCTGGGATGATTTTGGGATGATTTTGGGGTTATTTTGGGATGATTTTTGGGATGATTTTGGGATGATTTTGGGATGATTTTGGGATGATTTTTGGGTGATTTTGGGATGATTTTGGGGTGATTTTGGGATGATTTTGGGGTTATTTTGGGATGATTTTGGGGTTATTTTGGGATGATTTTTTGGATGATTTTGGGATGATTTTGGGATGATTTTTGGGATGATTTTGGGGCGATTTTGGGATTATTTTGGGAGGATTTGGGGATGATTTTGGGATGATTTGGGGATGATTTTGGGGTGATTTTGGGATGATTTTGGGGTTATTTTGGGATGATTTTTGGGATAATTTTGGGATGATTTTTGGGATGATTTTGGGGTTATTTTGGGATGATTTTTGGGATGATTCTGGGATGATTTTTGGGATGATTTTTGGGTGATTTTGGGGCGCCTTTCCTCATTTTTGGGGTCCCTCCCTCACCCCCCTCCCCCCATTCCCTTCCAGAGCCCAAGGATGATTTGGGTGAGTTTTGGGGTTTTTTCCCCCCAAATTTTTGGTGCCCTCCCCCCTCCCCCCTCCCCCTCCCCAAAATTTGGGGTTCTCGCCCCCCCCTGACCCCCCCGCCCCCCCAGAGGAGCTGAACCCCCCCGGACCCCCCGACCCGGACGGGCTGTTCCTGAGCCAG